CGAGACAAGGAGCTATTGCCCCTGCCTCCCCCGGCCGTTTCCCGGCCTGCGCAGAGCCTCCACCGTGTCGTTGGAGCCGGCGATGCCAACCAAATCCCCACCTACCTGGAGCGTTTGGCCGTTCAGCCTGGCGCACGCGCGTCGTACAGCATCCTGGCTGTCCAGAAGAAGCCGCACTCGCCCTGGTTCAGCGGCAGGGTCCTTCGTCGCCAAGTGGACGTGCTCCCCAGGCCGGGCATCGCGCGAGTAGTCCGTCTCTGACAGCTGCAGGCCCACCACGCTGACCAGATGGTTCATCAGCAGGCGAATCACCGCCCCGTCCTCGCGACCCACCTCGCCTAGCAAGGAAACCTGGGTGATGTGGTCCAGGTGCGAACTGGCGGCTCTGGCGCCGGCTTGCCGCCATGGCGCCAGGCGTGGCCGAAGGGTGGGCTATTGTCCGCCCGCCGCATTGAGAAGCACGCCGCTTGAGGCGGGCTTTGGCTTCGTGCCAAAAGAGAGCAGAGGTACCGCATCTTCATCTCCCGTCGCCCCTCATCTGCCGCAAATAGCGCCTGCGCGTTCCATTCGATAAGCGTGACGTCCCCCTGGTACTGCTCGCAGTCGCGCTGAGCCCCTGGCGCTGTTGGCAACGATTGCTGTGAGGCACCAGCCGAAGCTGGCACAGCGAGCGCAGGTGCGGCGATGCTGGCCCGGGGCGCGTGGCCCAGAGCTCGGTGAAGACGTTGACGGCGGTACAACCATATTGGTAGATACATGCTGCCGTGAACCCAGCCTCGCGGAACCAGGTCCTGCTCCTCAGAATTGCAAATGTGGAAGATGTGGTAACATACGATCCTCAGAAACAAAAACGGTGGGCCCCTCGATCGCCCCCCCAAGGGAGCGGCAGAGTTGGCCATGTCCACTGGCTGGTACGGCTGCGAGCGGTGGCGGCCAACGCCATTCGACTCCGAGGCAGCGGAGCGGAGAAGCAAGACGATCTCGATACGTCAGCCCTCCACGCCGCTGGCGGACACGAAACGAATTCCAGCATGCATCAGCACGGCATCCGCGAGACAAGGAGCTATTGCCCCTGCCTCCCCCGGCCGTTTCCCGGCCTGCGCAGAGCCTCCACCGTGTCGTTGGAGACGGCGATGCCAACCAAATCCCCACCTACCTGGAGCGTTTGGCCGTTCAGCCTGGCGCACGCGCGTCGTACAGCATCCTGGCTGTCCAGAAGAAGCCGCACTCGCCCTGGTTCAGCGGCAGGGTCCTTCGTCGCCAAGTGGACGTACTCCCCAGGCCGGGCATCGCGCGAGTAGTCCGTCTCTGACAGCTGCAGGCCCACCACGCTGACCAGATGGTTCATCAGCAGGCGAATCACCGCCCCGTCCTCGCGACCCACCTCGCCTAGCAAGGAAACCTGGGTGATGTGGTCCAGGTGCGAACTGGCGGCTCTGGCGCCGGCTTGCCGCCATGGCGCCAGGCGTGGCCGAAGGGTGGGCTATTGTCCGCCCGCCGCATTGAGAAGCACGCCACTTGAGGTGGGCTTTGGCTTCTTTGGAGTCCTCCCTCAGCACTGTGTCCATGGTGTTCGTCCACACTTCCGCGTCCGCGTCAGTGAAGACGAGGAATCTGTTGCGCTCCACCACCACGAGTTGGGAGCACAAAGGCCAATAATGTCGCAGGTTGGCTCCAGAAGCCTCGAGCACCTGCCCCTCCCCAGCCGTGTACAAGGTGCTGAGGCCGTAGTAGGCGTCGTTTGGAAGTTACCCGCTGTCGTAGGTCCTGTAGCTCCAGCAAAACGTGCAGGTCGGCCCAATTGGTTGGGAATAACATATCTAGCTGGACACGAGGTATGGCCTGGGTGCTCAGAATGCTGCGCCGAGGATCGCGGCAGACGACACCGTGCATGCGCAACAGCTCAGGGAAGGCCGCTGGTAGCGCCAGTGTCGGCAGATCGAGCCGAACGGTGCGCACGGCAGGCAGCGCCAGCAGCGCAACAGCTGGAGCCAAGAGCCGCGGCACCGCCCTGTCGCCCTTGTGCCGGGCCGGAGCGTGAAGATGGCCAAGCCTGTGCGCTCATGCCGCGGCCCCCACTGGCTCGGCAGGACGACCTCCATTGGGCGACACTGTGAACGTATAGTCGCGGACGAGGGCGGTCACGCAAATCTGGACACCAGGAGCGGGTTCCACCAGAGGTCCAGGATGCCAGCAACGCTGGTCATGCCCTGCACGAGCGAAATGGTCGCCACCATGCGGGTGGAGCGTGGGCGCTGCTCAGGCGGGAGCCGGAGCAGTGCCGTCAAGCAGCGAGTCAGCGCACTCTCATCGTCCGGTGCCCAGATCACCACGGCCTGGCCCACAAGGGAGTCGCAGTCGTGCGTCCCCCTTCTCCGCCAAGAGCCCCACCCGGCGGGCCGCCTTGCTGGCCCGAGCTGGCGCAGGCGCAAGCTCCCCGACGGAGCCTACAGCACGTCCGACCACTGCGTGAAGACTCTTTCTCCAGGGGCCGGCGCACTGGCCTGCAGCAAGGCCAGCGCCTGCGGGCCTAGCTCCCGGTGAAGCGGCAACTGGCCAGCCTTGAGCTTGCGACGCTCGCGGAGCAGCGGGCCCAATTCGTCGACACAGTGCGCCTCGGCCGTGGAGAGGGCGGCGGCGAACGTCCCCGCCTTTGCCGTCGTCGTCGACCTCCTGGTCGACGTCGCGTTGTCGTCGACCTCGTCCTCGTCGACCCCGTCGGCGACGACGCCGTCCAGGCCCAACCCGTCCTCGCCGCCGCCGCCACCGCCGTCGCCGCGGCCACCATCGCCGCCACCCTGCGTCGCCTCCCGCCTCCGCGGGGCGCCCCCCAGGCTGCGCCGACCGGGACGGCGCCCAAACTCCGACGCCCTTTCCTATGCTGTCTGTTGCCACCAGTGCAGTTATGACTACCTACCAGACCACCCCAACCCAACCCGAAGACCTGAATTTCGGGTTGGGGGGGGTAAGGGTTCCACATGTGTTTCTTCGATGTTTCCCGACCCCCCCCCACTGGAAATCGAGGGTCAATCTGAGCCTTCGGGTTGGGTTGGGGTGGTTTGGTGGGTGGTGAAGTTAGGAACTTGTTAGCATGGCGTGCCGCGGCGGCGCCCCCAGCGACACGCTACGCCTTGCAAGCTGAACGCGTGTCGCTCCGCTTCGCGGGCCGGGGGAGGGCTTGAGAAGCCCGGCACGCTCATGCTTGGGAGCTCGGGCGTGCTTAGCGTGTCGCGCCGAGAAGTTGAGGGCCAGAACCGGCGTCGCGCGATCGCTCCTGACTGCAAGTGCCAGACATCGACCCCTGCCCCAGGACGACCTTTCCATCCAGACCCGTTTTTTTCTAGGGTGCGGCCAAGAGAGGGGCGTCCAAGAGGGGGGGCGCAAATAATGACCAGCGGCATGTGGCCGGCCCAGGGGGGGGGAACCGGGGACGTACTGAAATAAGAAGAGGCGCCATGAAATCTGAGGAAAAATCATGGCCCCCGCCATGATACCCACCCACCCCTAGTCATCACCCTCTTTGCCGTCCCCGATGTTTTCCAGGATCCAACAAAGGCAGCGCCCACGCGCAGAAAACGGCGGAACAGATCCGCCTCTGCTCTTGCTCTGGGACGTTCGTGGCCTGCGCTGCCCCTCGCAAGCCCTTTCAAAACCTGTCCCCACCGAACCACCGCTGGGCTTCGCTCTGGCCAGCTGCTCGAGCTGCTCCCCGCCGCGGACACGGCGACGACGACACCTCCGAGAGTCCACGCGGATGCCTGGCATTGGCGCCGCCGGAGCCCCCCTCCCTGGAGCGCAGCACGCCCCGATGGTGGTGCCCGAGGCGCCGCCGAGGGGGCCCAGCGTGGACCACAGAAATCTGCGCAGACCTTCAACAAACTGGTGTAGTTTTTGCTTCTAAACAAAAAAACAATTTGGGCGCCCGAGTTATCCGGGGTAACTCGGGTCCGGGGTAACTCGGGTTTGGGTTCCCGAAAAAACGAACCCGAGTTAGCCCTGACCCGAGTTACCCCTGATGATTCGGGGCTCTGGGCGCCCGAGTTATCCGGGGTAACTCGGGTCCGGGGTAACTCGGGTTCGGATTTCCGAAAAAACGAACCCGAGTTAGCCCTGACCCGAGTTACCCCTGATGATTCGGGGCTCTGAATAATATTTTTGTGCAAACATTTGTGTCTATGTGACGTTTCCCAGCCCTGCTGTGTTGGGCCCTCGTTCTGACCAGAGCGCTGCTACTGCCGTGTGATGCATCCTGGCGGTTTCCTCGGACTGCGTCCAGCCGTTGCGATGCGAACCTCCAGAAACGCCCAAGGACCTCCCAGACGACGACGGCTGCGGCGACGACGACGGCGGCCCCGACGAAGCCGGCATAGCCCAGCGGTGGACGCCCGCGCGGATAAACGTGGGGCCTCCATGAGGCGGAATCCGGCCCCTCGCAGGACAGCGACGACGACGGCCTGGCGGAGGCAAAAGGGGTGGATAACCCCAGGGACGGGCATTAAACGCATTCGCTGGGGAGGCTCTTCGGGGACATGGGCGATCGGAGCCCTTGGATGCAGGTGTGATGCTGTCCCCTGGCAGGCCTGAGCAGGATCGGATCATCAAAAATCTGGCCGCATCGAGGACGGCGGAGATCGCCAGCAAGTCGAATCGTCCCGAATCGAATCGAAACGGGACCGCTGGCTCGGCCAGCAACCCAGCAATCGGGCGAATCGAATCGGATCGGGATTGCGGCCATCGGATCGCAGGCGTAGGTCGGGCATGTCCTCCTAGAGGCAGACTCTGGACGACAAGTGAAACATGCTCCACACAGGCCCCAACATGGACATGCATCATCAACAGCATCGTGACCATACCGTGCTCTACTTTTTTGGGGTATTCCTCCCGTGGAATAACATGCCCGACTTTGTCGTAGGCGGCGGCGGCGCCGGCCGCGGCGCGTGGCGGCGCCGGGGCAGGGCGCGGCGCCGGGCACCCGAGGCGCGCGGCAGGGCGGCGGGGGCCTCCAGGAGGCGGAAGCCGGCCGCCCGCCAGGCGGCCTGCTCCAGCTGGAACGCGGCCCGCCGCCTCCGCGGGGCGGGAGCTGAGCGCAGAGCTTTTCGAGGGCAGCCACCCCGAGGAGCACCACCCCGGCACGCGAGGCCGTTCAGTCAGCAGACGCACCCGAAGAAGGAATCAGACCTGGCAGGGCCGTTCAGTAAACGCCCAGGGCTGGTGAGTGAGCGCCGATTGTCTCCGGTCCGGGCAGATTCTCCTCCCTTTAGTTCTGCCGTTGTCGTGCTGGTCTTCGTTGTCCCTCGCTCCATCTTCGCTCCGCCTCTGCCGCAACGCGGAATCAGATGGCGGTCCACGAGATCGCCAAAGCATAGCTTAACTCGCGCCACAGTTGCCAAACGTCGTCGCCACCGCCGCAGCCGCCCGACGTCGTCGTCGTCGTCGTCGTCGTCGTCGTCGTCGTCGTCGTCGTCGTCGTCCGTCGCAGCCGTCGTCGTCGACGTCGTCGTCGGCCGCCGTCTCGGACAAGTCGAGGCGAGGGTCTTCGCAACACTCGAGTCGCTGGGATTGGGCGGCCGCCGTTTGGAGGCGTTGACCGACGTCGCCGACGTCTTGAAACATCAACACGAGGGTCCTTTGCAAAGGAAGTGGAGGAACTTTCGGCCTCCAGGCAATGTTCGCCGACGCCTTGAAATATCAGAGCGATACTTTGCCGGCCCCGCCTCAGGCGCCCACAAGGAAGCCTCAACCATGCCTAGGTCGCACTCCGCCCGGCAGCCGCTGCGGTGACTCGCCCCCGGAAGCGGAGCATCCAATACCCCGAGGAGTCGGCTGTGCGGCGTGACAAGACGAGGGTCCTTTTCTAGGCCACCTAACTTCGCGCGCGGAGGCCCCAAGAAGGCTCAAAGAGACGCCCAAGACGGCCAAAGAGGACCCTAGGAGAGCCACAAGGCGGCCCCGAGAGGTCCTCAGGACGGCCTCCGAAGTTCGAAGGGGCATGACGGCGCAAGAGCGCCCCAAGACGGCCCAAGAGGCCCCCAGGAGGCCCAAAGAGGCTGCTTCCAGGGCCCCCAAGAAGCCTCACAAATACCCCGCACAAGCTCCCCAAAGGCCCAAAGAAACAACCACCGGGGCCCACGGAATTGTATATGAACGGCGCGTTGTTGCTTTGCTCCACGGAATTTGAACTTGGCGTTGCCTTGTGCTGACACGCGGTGAATGCTCACTGCCCTCGTGGACATGCGCACGCTCGTCCCGGCGCTGAAACCGGGGGGGGGGGGGGGGAATCCGCCCCCCGCGGCGCGGGCAACGCCCTGTGGGGCGGGCGGAACGACGCGGCAGAACCTCTCGGCAGACGGGCAGGGCAAGCCACCCAGCGCCCCGCCTTCACGTGCTCCGGGCGTGCACCCCGCGGAGCGAGAGGAATCCAAGACGAAGGTCCCTTCTCTGGGTCACCAGAACTGCGCGCCTCGCGCCCCGCGCGGCGAGGCCCGGCTCGCGCCCCCGCGCCCCCGCGCCTCCCGCCCGGAAGAGAAGGTATAGCCGCTCTGACCCCGAGCGCGGCGCGCGAAGCAGGCTTCTCTTCGCGGGTCCCCTCGGGTCCCCTCGGGTCCCCTCGGGCCCCCTCCCCTCGGGTCGAGAGGTCCAGGGGGCGGCGGCTCGGAGTTGTCGAGTCCTCCTCCTCCTCCTCCTCGAGGCTTTCGGCCTCGAGGGGCCGTTCTCGGGCTCCCAGGGCCATCGAGCAGCGATCCGGGGCGACGAAGACCGCAGGCTCCTGGAAGGCGGCCCACCGCGCCGAGGGCCCGAGCGCTGGAAAATCAAGAACAGACATCGAGAGATGGGTGTCTGCATAGTTATCGCCCTCCTGGGAACCAATTCGTGCTGGGTCATGATCGGGTTGACCTCGGAATCGAAATCCGGGGATGGGATCGGATCCTTCGCAGGGTTGTGGACCCCGGATCAGAAGTTTCGATGTGGCAGCTGCTGGCACGCCGATGTCTTGATGTGATGCGCCTCAATGGATGTTATCCCGACTGCCCACCCATCGGCAACACACCCGCTCTCGCCGTGCAAGCCAGCCGGCCCATCGCAGAAGAGACCGGGCGATCGCGCACCGGGGGACCCCTTGGCACAGCGATGCCACGAAACTATTGCGGCACTGCGTCACGACACCAGCGGCTGCCACTCCTCGTTCACTTTGCCCTCCCTCTCCCCACAATCTGCGCACTGAATCATGTGCATGTGCATTTGAGAATAAATACCTTCTACATGGACGAGTACACCTGCCGTAGCGTGCTAATTTACATGTTCAAGCGAATGTAAGCACATGAAAGGACGCCACTGTACCCAACCAGCAATGCATGCCACGCCAAAGGCTGCAACTCTACAGCTTCGTTGCGATGTCCCAAACGCGGTGGTCGACATGCTCAAACGTGCCACTGCACCACGCGATTTAGAACAAGTGCAGTGTGGAATGAAGACGCGGCAGCCCCCCTCCTTTGACGCTCCTTCTCCCTGAGCGCGACGGTGGCTATCTGCAGGAACTCTTGGAAGGAGATGGAGCCCTGCGCATTGCCACCGAGGGACACAGCTTCCGCATTGCTTCTCGCCCAGCGGAGGGCGAATTCGCAGTCGGGTGTCACGTATATGGTTCCAACGCGTTGGGAGACTCTTGGATCCTCCGCAACAGCCCACCTCGGTGAATTGCAAGCAATTGCCACCACTGACAGATGCCACACAGTGGGAATGTACGATCCACGTTTCGGATTCAAGCGGCGGTGGGGTGAGGGCAATGCGAGTTCCACTGCTCTACGAAAGACGGTCACGGAGCCTGCACTGGCGACAGCGATAATGATTGCGACACTAATGGCCATGACGACGCACGCGGCATCACCAACGCTGACTGGGTCAGAGACGGTGACGATGCCTTCCAGCTTTCGGCGCCTCGTTTCCGCATCTTCCCAGTGGGCACGGATTGTGAAATCACAGAACCACGTTCCGATAACACAAAATACTTAGCACCCCGCAGATGCGGATAAGAGTGAGGGGGCGGCGGGGACGTCGGCAGTTTGCGAGAGTCTGGAGAAGCCCGCCGCACGCGCCAAAGTAATACAAATTACACAACGAGCCCGCCGCAGGCGCCGATTCCTTCGTTAAAGCAATGTGGGTAGGCCGCGGGTGGGTCGCAAATGGGTCGCGGGTGGGTCGCTATTGGGTCGCGGGTGTAGAGGGCAGAATATCCACCCCATAATAATCACCCCGACAAACAAAGCCGGTTAGTAAACGCACACAGAGAACGAATCGAAAAGGGCAGGGCTGCTTAGTCAACGCCAAAGGCCGTTTAGTAAGCGTCAATTGTCGGGTCCAGGTGGTTTTTCCTCCCTTGAGGGTGGGTCGCGGGGTGGGTCGCGGGGTGGGTCGCGGGTGGGTCGGGGGTCGCGGGGTGGGTCGCGGGTGGGTCGCGGGGTGGGTCGCGGGTGGGTCGCAGTTGGGTCGCGGGTGGGTAGCGGGGTGGGTCGGGGTTGGGTCGCGGGTTGGGTCGCGGGTGGGTCGCGGGGTGGGTGGCGGGGTGGGTCGCGGGGTGGGTCGCGGGGTGGGTCGCGGGTGGGTCGCGGGTGGGACGACGACAACAAACAACAACAACAACAACAACAACAACAACAACAACAACAACAACAGCAGCAACAACAACAACAACCACAACAACAACAACAACAACACCAACAACAACACCAGCAACAACAACATCAACAACAACAACATCAATAACAACAACAACAACAAGAACAGCAACACCAACAGCATCAACAACAACAACAACGACAACGACAACGACAAAAACAACAACCCCAACACAAACACCAGCACCAACACCAACAACAACAGCAGCACTCATGCTAAGACTGCTCGCTCTGACTTGCCCGTGTGCCATTCAAAACGAGTTTCCCACACCCTCGATACCCGCCCTTTTCGTCTTCGATCACACCCCCTTTGGGGGGATTATTTCTCTTTGCGGGGGGTGGCGGGCTTAGACAGGCGGGCAATCCTGAACGGGCGGACAATCGTTCGTGGGCGTACATGTGCCCGCCATTGGAATTGATGTGGGCCCTGCAAAAAGAGGAGGGGGAGAACAAGGGAGAGTGGGAGGAAGGGAGGGGGACGAAGGAAGAGGGAAAGCGCCAGGAGAGAAGGAACGAAGAGGGGGGCGGTTGATTAGAGGCAAAGAGAGAGAGAGAGAGAGAGAGAGAGAGAGAGAGAGAGAGAGGGAGAGAGAGAGAGAGAGGGAGAGAGAGAGAGAGAGAGACAACAAAAATAAAAACACAACTAATTACCTATAAGAGAGGTAGGGAAAGAGAGAGAGAGAGGGGATAGAGAGAGACAGAAAAAAAGGAAAGATAGAGGAGGCAGGAGAGGGGAGGGACAAGGGAGGAGGGAGAGGAGGGAGACGGGATATGGCAGAGAGGCATAAGGATGAGGGAAGAGAGGAGGGAGAGAGAAGGGAGGAGAGGAGGGAGGAGGGAGGAGGGAGAGGGAGGAGGAGCAGGAAGGTAAGAGCGTGAACGTTCGAGGAAGTCCTAGGCGAAAACGCCGTTCCTGAAGGAAGTCTCGGGCGGGAGCCCACGACGGGCGGGCGATCCCCTAACGGGCGGGTCGGTCGGGTCGGACATTCAAGCGGGATGCCTGAGTATGGCGAGAGCGCGGTTCCTAAGTAAATTGTGACGGCGTCCTTGGCGCAGCGTGTTTCCTGATCGTCGAAAGCGCGATTTCTGAATACAATACATGGGAATCAATCGCAGGTGAGAGCGCAATTCCTGAATAAAATGTGAAGGGTTCTCTGGCGGGAGCAGGGGTCTTGATGAAATTGCGAAGAAGTCTTGACCCAATTGCGAGGAAGTCTCAAGCGGGAGCGTCGTTCCTGAGTAAATTGTAAGGTGATCTCAGATGGGAGCGGGGGTCCTGACTAAATTGCGAGGAAGTCGCAGGCGGGAACACCGATCCTGAGTAAATTGTAAGGAAAACTCACGCGGGAGCGGGGGTCCTGAATAAATTTGGAGGAAGTCTCAGGCGGGAGCCGTTGTTGTTGTAATCCGGGGGGTCAGGGGCACAGTTTGAGCCTCAAGACTTTCCCTTTCAAAAAACAAGGTGCGAGCGTCGAGGGGCACACTTTGATTGAGAAAAAACAGTATGCAGCGGTGAGGGGGATCAACAGTAATTTTTCTTCAGGAATGAGAACTCAACAACAACAAAACAACGCAACAAGCAGAATTCTCACCACGAATTCCTTATTCAGCCACGCGCCCATGGACAATGAATGACCGTTCGGACCCCTCACTGTGATGATATGCACGATGGGTCACGTCATGACCAGTGCATAATCTGTAGAACCCAGGTTTCCACAATACACCCTTCACTTATTGCCTGAACTGCCTGCTCCACCCCTCCTCCTTCTCCACCTTCTCTCAAGACAAGATCCGGATACGAATAGCATCGGATTCAGATCACTTGGGCATGTGGCATGTCTGAGACCCGGCGGGACGAGAGGATGTATCGGGCCCCCCTGCCCGGTCCAGAGCGCTGCAGATCGCCCAGAGCGTGCTCCTGAAAGCTCTGCCTGGCATATCCTCCTCCACACTGCACCTCCAACGCCACGAACTTCTCGCGTCGCAGGCCCTGGAGCACTCGATCCCGTGCTAAAGGCCGGCCCCTCGCCGTGGAAACGGTTGTGTTCCAAGTCCCGTGGCCCGAAGTCGGGCCCCGAAGTCATTATTGAGCTGTCATCTCTCAAGAATGTTTATTATTCTCTTGCACAGGGTGTCTAGAGCTCCGACCACTTTATTTCGGCGTCGTCGCCCCCCCCCTCCCCAGCTGCCCAGTGCTGGTGCTGGTGCTGGTGCTGGTGCTGGTGCCGCTGCTGGTGCTGCTAGTGCTGGTGCTGGTGCTGGTGCTGGTGCCGCTGCTGGTCCGCCCCGACCACTTTATTTCGGCGCCCCCCCCCCCTCCCCAGCTGCCCAGTGCCCTCCGCCCCGACCACTTTATTTCGGCGTCGTCGCCCCCCCCCCTCCCCAGCTGCCCAGAGCGCTTCGGCGTCGCACCGCCCCCTCCGCCCCGACCGCTTTATTTCGGCGTCGTCGCCCCCCCCCCCCCACCCCCCCCTCCCCAGGCTGCCCAGTGCCCCCCTCGGCGTCGTCGCACACCGCCCCCTCCGGCCGACCACTTTAGTTCGCGTCGTCGCCCCCCCCCCCCCCCCCCCTCTCCCAGTACTGCCACGCGCCCTTCGGTCGTCGCGGGCCCCCTGCCGCCCCGACACTTTTATTCGTTCGCGTCGTCGCCCCCCCCCCCCAACTCCCCAGCTGCCCAGTGCCCTTCGGCGTCGCACCGCCCCCTCCCGCCCCGACACATTTTTATTTCGGCGTCCGTCGCCCCCCCCCCCCCCCCCCCCCCAGCTGCCATGCCCTCGGCGTCGCACCGCCCCCTCCGCCCCGACCACCTTATTTCGCGTCGCACCCCCCCCCCCCCCCCTCCCCAGCCCCAGATGCCTTTCGGCGTCGCCAATGCAGGCCGCCCCATCCGCCCCGACCACTTTATTTCGGCGTCGTCGCCCTCCCCCCTCCCCAGCTGCCCAGTGCCCTTCGGCGTCGCACAGCCCCTTCCGCCCCGACTACTTTATTTCGGCGTCGTCGCCCCCCTTCCCCCTCCCCAGCTGCCCAGTGCCCCTCGGCGTCGTCGCACCGCCCCCTCCGCCCCGACCACTTTATTTCGGCGTCGTCGCCCCCCCCCCCTCCCCAGCTGCCCCGTGCCCTTCGGCGTCGCACCGCCCCCTCCGCCCC